GGTCATCAGGATGATGGCATGAGGGTTGAGTCTGACGTCAGAGTTTCCGCTGTTTTCCCTCGACAATCCTGAGGAGGAGATCGGCTCGGATCTTGCCAACTTCTGTGGCGACCTTCCCGTTTACAAACTGGTCACTGAAGAACAGAATGACAGTGTTCAAGACCGTCGTCAAGTGAGCGTCACCTTCACCCGCTGCATCCTGCTGTGTTTCATTCCCAGGTGCTTCACCACCACGCTCACTCTCCCCACTGGCTCCACCATCACCTTCGGGTGGCTCTTCTTAGGCTAAAAATTGTTTTAAGCAATATTGTTCACCTTCCACTTCGGGGAAATAGAAGTCTCTCTTACCTGTCTCCATGATGTACACTTACTTGTGATTAAAATTTATTGCATTTCAACCTGTTGTTTTTAGGATTTCTTATTTCTTAAAAAAAGATCTAGGGAACTAGTCACTCGCATAAATAGACTTACACTTACACGCACACACACACACACACACACAACACACATATATATATATATATATATATATATATATATATATATATATATATATATATATACGCATACATGTATGTGTGATGTATCTATATTTATATATATATATATATATATATATATATATATATATATATATATATATATATATATATATATATATATATATATATACGTACATATATCTATATATGTACATATATATACATATATATAAGCGCTCTTCATATATCGAATAGATTTATAAGATCGTTTTCCTTTCTTAGCATCAGAAAGAATTCCTTTTACCTTTGTGATCGCGAACATTATGAACGTTCATGTAAACTTTAGGTATAGGTATATTAGGCCCATTTTTTTCTCTTTTTATTAACTTTCTCAGGAAGTGTATAAAAAGAGTGCACTTAATGTGACTTGTGCGCTCCTTGAATGAAAAATGCGCTAAGCAGTCTCGTATATAAGTGTATTTATGGATATACATATATATGTCCATACATACATGTGTATATATAAATACGTATATAAATGAATATATATGCAAACATACATGTGTGTACATGTATATATGAATATACACATATATATACATACATACATACAAAAGAGCTTCAAAAATTCGTTGAAATGGAACATTAAAGACTACCTGAGAAATACATGAAATTTATTTTTACAAGTAATGGTTTCTAAACAATGTGGGACTTACATCATCAATTAAAAGAAATGGATTTTGTGTTATCATTTTTTCAGACTTGGAAAGACAAAGAAATGAGAGAGAGCCAAATCAAGTCCGTTGGGTAGATGCCAAAAGGTTTTCCATCGAAACTCACAAACCGGCAGGAAACACGGGAGGGAGCTGAACCGTATTCATGTTGACAAATGTAGAAAGGTATGAATGAGAATAAATATCTTCACAATACAAGAGTTGTATTTGACTGGTTTTGAATACATCTTCGTCGGAAATACATGGGAGGGAGCATTGCTGTGGAGAAGAGGCAGTGGCGTGCTGGCAGGGGGCGGGGAGGAGGCTGCCCGTCCTGCCGATAAAAATGAGGAGTGCTAAAATTAATTTTCACATGTACTGGGGGTGCGCCTTTATTCGAAAGTGAAACCTGAAAACATGAATGCAAAGGATCGTAATTTACGTACACATGAGCACTCGTGTTCACCTATTTATCACTAAGGGTACTTGCTATGCTGGGTTGGGACCTGAGTGATTTTTTCTCTAACCTCGTGACCTCATGTACTTCATAGTTATCTTTCTCGACCAGTCATTTTGCACAAGACTATTTTTACATTTATGTTTACTTGTGCCACTTGTATGTTAGCCTCCAGGCTAGTTGGTAAATAAGTTGCAATTGTCGCTCCACACCACTAAGCTCTGTAGCGTCAGTGACACACGGTGATCGAGTCGAGTTTTTCCCATAGCCCGGGCGAGGTTCAGCTTCGCATATAACTTATCCTTATAACTTATATGTTTGTTTGCCTATGGCCACAAGACTGGCGGGATAGTAGTGTGGCAGGGTTTTCAGATTGTTACTTCCTCTCGTTATGCCAGTGGGCCATCTTGCCGCTGGGCACGGGACATTGTTACTTATTAGCAAGCTGCATAGATGCCATGATCCTGGGCACCGTGTGTCTGATTGCAATGCTGCGTTCGAAGCTCCTTGCCCTGCTCGTCCAGACCAGTTGGACAAGATGTCTTCACCGTTCGGAACCTCTACTTTCCCGTCCTGGACAAGTTGTCCATCTCGTCCATCTCGCCCTCCTGTGAAAGTGGGCGAGCTGGAGATGGCAATAGCTTTTCTATGTAAACATTGGAAGTTGCAGGCAACCACAAGGTATTGATTGATAATTTTATGGCCTTCAAAGAAGTTACAAAACCTATGCAGCGTGTAAAATAAAGATACCGGTATGATAAATGAGTGAATGTTTACATTCGAGCTGGTTGCATTCTGGGCAGCGAGTCTTGGAGGTTCCAAACGCGGCATCGTTGTCCTGCTGCTCTTGGACAAGTTGCCTGGATGAGCAAGACGAGGAGTTCCGGACGCAGCATAAAGCCTAGCTACACGTTCTTACGATAATGTTCAGGCTGACCGTCGCCCCCTCCCTCTTGGTTTTATGGGACCCGTATGTCGCCTAAGTGCGGACAGTGGGTATGATGTGCTGGCTTGTGTGAGAAATTACTATAACTGTTTTTACGTTTACATAACGATTTTTCTTCTGAGTAGAATAATATTCCGATGGGATTTAAATCACTAAAGTGTGTAACAAACCAAAAACATAATTGTTATTGTGTGTTGATGTTTCAGACTCAGACATACTTAGACCATACCAAATGTGTCCTCTTTGTATCCACTCCTTCTAGTCATCTGTACATGTACATATATATATACATATACATACATACATATATGTATGTATATATATGCGTGTATATACACGTGTCTATGTGAGAGATTGTTTATATGTACTTATTTATGTATGAATATACTCACATATATATATAATATATATATATATATATATATATATTATATATATATATATAATAGTAGATTAAAGATGCCAAATCATAAAATTTTCCCTTTGGGGGAAAAGGAGAACTAAGCGAGGTTAATGATTGCACGTTTACCTCTTCACATATTTACTGGTCTATAAAGCCTCAATTTGTAAAACCACGCATTTTTCGTATCTAGATTCATAAATGTGGTAGACAAATTTCATGATTGCAATACTTTATTTGTCTCTCCATACACTCACAAGTTTCTTCAGTATCATTCTTGAGTTTCAAGCATTCTTCATCCTGGATGGACTTGTTAATCTGCACCTTCACGTTGGAAGCCATGGTTTTCTCCAGGATCTCTCGCAAAGCCTTCCTGAAGCCGGCGCTGTGAACGTCCTTCATATTGTTGCCGTCCAAGTTGCTTGCACTTTCAAGCAGGTCGTGACCCGATCTTGCGGTGTAGCTGGCGATGTTCTGAGGCACAAGGTTGTCCAAGTTGATCTGGATATCTGCGAACAGCTTGTCCACACGCTCTACAACCTGACCAGAAACAGTCTGGGCTGGAGCTTCACCAACACCGGCAAAGGTTACCGTGTAGTCGGCGTTGGCACGAGCGTTTTCCACGACAACCGAACCGGAGAGCACACTCTGTAAAAATACATAATAGATCACTCATAATCATACATATACTTAACTTTAAAAATAGAATATCATTCTTATCATGGATTTCCTTTCAAAACTCTGAAGTTAATGAGTTTAGTTAATGCCTTTAACTCATATCATACATCTTTCTTTTCATTTGACCTCATACCTGGTCGGCGTTGAAGGAAGCGGACTTGGAGCGGCGCAGGGAGCAGAGTCCAGTCACGTTGGCCTTAGTGATGCTGAAGTTCTCGGAGCTGCTTCCGTCAGAGTTGACTTGGAAGGGCAGATTTGACTCTCCGTTCTGCACGTTTTTGGATCCACACCATCCTAGTGCTCTGTTAAAGGACAGCAGTTAGGAAGAAGACTC